AATCCCAGGATGGCACAGCTGGGGCCGTGTAGACCACGCCAGGATGAGGGCACAGGTGTGCTCTGTAAGCCTTGCAGAGTGAGGGTAGAGGTCTGGGCTGCAGAAGGAGCCTGTGAGGTGGTCACTGTGTCCCTGGACAAGGGGCCTCAGCTCAGACCTGGAGACTGGGTGGCATGCTGTGGTCACAGACAAGTCTGGCTCACTCTACCTGGTGGAGCTTTGGAGCCCAGGTCTGTGTCTGTCCCAGATGAGTCCCCTTTCCCTGGAGGGGGGCCTAGGCAGCCAGCTGTGCTCTAGACATTGGGGGATGGGAGGACAGGGAGGGAGGACACTCTTTGTCCATCCTAATTGCCTCTCAGGAGAAGGAGGTGGAGAGAGAGGTTGACTCCAGCTGACCCGCTGTCCCTCGGGGTGACTGCATAATGACTGGGAGTCCAAAAGTCACCATCCATGAGCACTCGTGTGTGTGCGCGGAAGAACCTAGTCCTGGTGGGAGGATGGGTTACTACAGAATGGAGGCGCAGGGAGTGGGGGTGTTATGGCCCCTGCTGAAATGCCAGTCCCTGGGCCCTGACTCAGACTGCGCAGGATTGGAATTCCCTGTGAGTCAGGCTGTCCATTTGCATTTTGATGGAACTCTCTAGGTGGTCTTTGTGCTCAGGAAAGTGAAGGACAAAACCATTGGTTTGTTTGGAAGCTTTTCAGGGGTCTTCCCTGCTCCAGGGAGGCACAGAAAGTTGAGGGCTTCCTCAGACCTAGGATAGGCCACCTGCTGCCCTGGCCACTTGGACAGGGCCTGGGGTGAAGACTCAGACATAGGGAGCTGGGTGAAGGGATGGGGTGCTGGCTAAGGGAGCCACTTGGGATGCAAGGGGCAGATTCACTGCCTGTGGCATCTCTCTGCAGCGCCTCTCAGCCCTGGGGTGGGGACTGAGTGAGATGCGGAAAAGGCCTGGTATCTGCCCTCAGTCACTTGTAAAGCTGTGGGATTTAGGCAATTCGCTTTCTCAAGACAGACCTCAGGCAGGAGGGCGTAGGACTACGTCAGTGACCCACCACCTCCACTGAGTATTATGTGCACCAGGAGTGCCTAACCCAGACCAAGGATGCCAGAATCTCTGCACACAGGGCTTTGGTTCTCAGCCGCTAAAAGGTGGTCCTCTTGAGCTGGGGTCTCTGACCCCCTCCACTCAGTTGTCAGGGATAGGAGAGAAGGGCTTGGCTCCTTTCCCCCACCATTCAAGGGGAAAGCCCGCTGGGTTTTGTGTTTGGGTAGCCTTCCCAGTGTCGGGCGGCTCATTCTGGACCCGGAGGCAGGCAGGGCCCCAGGAGCCCAGCAGAGATGCACCTGACTGCTATAGAGAAAGGAGCAGGAGGAGGCAGAGAATCCTCACCTTAGCCCAGGGCCCTGAAAGGCTTCATCTTCAAGTCGAAAGACAACACAGAGTTGTCCATTCACACGACATTTTTTTTCAATATAAAGAGCAGAAATGTTTGGGGGCTTAAAGCAGGAGAATCCCATGGACAGATTGCTTTTCAGTTGAACCTTTACAAAGCCAGCTTATCTCTGGCCCCGATACCTCTACAAAAGGGGAACATTCCTAAGACAGATTGGAGCCAGCTGAGCAAAAATAATCCCATCTAAGTCACTTTCTTACGTCTGGACTCTTTTGTAGTAAATTCATTCTACAAGGTATTAACCACCTTTACCTAAGAGATTTATTTATAGGACCCGAATCAAAATGAAAAATAAAAACAGGCTCAGCGCCTGTGGCTCAAGAGGCTAAGGCGCCAACCACATACACCTGAGCTGGTGGGTTCGAATCCAGCCCCGGCTGCCAAACAACAATAATGGCTGCAACTAAAGAATAGCCAGGTGTTGTGGCGGGCGCCTATAGTCCCAGCTACTTGGGAGGTGGAGGCAGGAGACTCATGTGAGCTCAAGAGTTGGAGGTTGCTGTGAGCTGTGATGCCACAGCACTCTACCCAGGGGGACAGCTTGAGGCTCTGTCTCAAAAAAAAAAAAAAAGAGAAAGAAAAAGAAAAACAAAATGAATACAATAGAAGAGGACTTAGACTTTAGGGTCTGAAACATCTGCGTTTAAATCCCGGCTTTGCCTGATTAGCTGTGTGAGCCGGAGTGCTTTCAAGCCTCAGTTTCTTCTTTTGTGGAGATGGTGATGCCTGCTTGCTTATTTCACAAATGTGCTGGGAACTCAAAACGGGGTCACTTTTCATAAGAGTCTGGTATGCTACCTGATTCATTGCAGGCATTGAATACACACAGGAGTTATGATTAAAATATCAATACATCCCTAGCATGTAGGTAGTAAAGTTCCATATGTTATCTCTTTCTCAACAATACAGTGAGGAAAACATCACTTAACCCATTTCACAGATAGTGAAACTGAGGTGCTATCCCCAGGACTTGAGCCCAGGTCCTCCAACTCCAGGTACCATGCTCTTTCCATGGCAAGCTCTTGACTAGAGATGCATGATGGCATTGTAATGAGGTGTCAGCTCAGCAAGTAGCAGGGCATTAAGGGAGGTAGCAGGGAGTGAAACTAAGGGGTTGGCACATCTCTTAGGGGTGACTGGGGATCTGGAATCACAGAAGAGTTGCCTGGAGGATGCTTTGTCCCAACCAGTGGGACAAGGGCTGTTCAACCCAGCATGTCACCATATCCAGGCAAGCCCACAGCACAGTCTGTGCCCCTGGAGCTTGTGGCTAAAATGCTGGATCTTCACTTTGTTTGATGGGGGATCCATGAGTGTACAGCCCCCACCACCCCTTCAGGCAATTCCGGCAACACTGACCCCCTAAATATACTTAAGTATATATATATATATACACACACACACACACATATGTGTGTGTATTTATGCTTTTATCATAAAAACTTTAGAGAATCACCTCTACAGAAATTTTAAAAACATGTCAAGTTTTATCAAGACTATCTCCTCCCTTTGTAGAATTGATGCCTGCAGACACAAGATACAGCAGGCTCTAGTCTTTGCTTAGACGACCAGTGAACAAGAATTCTCTTACAGCACAGACTTCCATTTTAATGAATCTGGACCACACAAAATGCCCCTTAATGAGCAGGAAAGTCTGTGAGAACCAAAGAAATTCTGCCCCACTCAGAAACCCCCTACCTGGACAGGGCTGCTGTAAAACAAGGCAGAGAGAGGACATTTAAAAAATCTCACACATGGTATGTAGGATTTTTTTTAGTTACAAAGGACACATAAAAATTCATTCATTAAAAAAAAGCTGGAATCTGAGTAGAAAAATGGGTCAAAGGCATACACACAGTAATTCACATGCAAATAGTTTCTTTAAACCCCTAGACAAAATTTTAATATCATTAATAATCAAATATATCTAAAATAGTACTGCATTAAAATGAGGTACTATTTTTTGCTCATAGAATTAGCAGATGATGTCTCATTTTTAATGACAATACCAATGACCAGGTGGTGGGTCAGTGGTATAAATCAGTACAGACCTTTAGAAAAACAATTCGAATATCAAGAGCCTTAAAGCTGTCCAGATCCTTTAACCCAGTAATTCCGTGCCTGGGAATCTATCCTAAGGAAATAATCAGAAGTTCAAGAAAAGAAAAGTTTTAAAAGTAATGGAAACCATGTAAAATGGTCAACAGTAGGAAAATGGTAAAATATCTTATATTCTCATAATGGGAGATATTCAGATATTAAAGATAGGTTTATGCTGACTTTGAGATAAATGGGGGAGATTCTTACAGTGTTAGGTTTTTAAAAATATGCGCGTGTGTATGTAAAGAACAAACTCCACGATAAAATGGTTAGAAAATGATGGAAGAGAAACACACCAGACTCTGACCCAAGTTATCTCTGAGTGATGGGAGTCTGGATGGCTACTTTTCCTCCATGCTGTGTTTTTTGGCATTTTCCAATTTTTCCATTACAGAATGAAATGTGTTTTTTAAAAAAAAAACACTTGGACTTTGGGGCTGAGAGCAAACTTCATCCAACGACCCTGAATTTATCTGCTCTTCCCAAGTATTCACATCTGCAGAGTCACCAAATATATTCAGGACTTGAAAAAAGCATCTCAAAGTCAAAGGGGGTGAGTACCAAGAGAGGCCAAGGAGAAAAACAGCAGGAGATCAATAAAGGGGAAGAGGAGAGAAAGACTTTCTAGCAGAAAACAAACAAAACTCTCCTGGAACCTTCCCCATCAGTTCCTTCCTCTTGAACTCTGAAGACAAACTCAAGGGGAGCCGCTGACCTCTGATCACGGGTCAGCTCTGCACAGCCCTCCTGCACCCTGTGTGTGGGGCAGGCCCTGGGGTTCTCTGAAACTTCTGAATTTAGAACCCAGGGACAGCATGGTGTGGGCCTTGTCCTTGGCAAGTCTTTGCCCGTGTGCTCTGCACACCCACAGTGGACACAGAGCGCATGGGTTGGCTCACAGCCTGATCTCGTCTAGAAATCTAAGTCATCTTGGCCAAAGCCATCCGCCCTGCCTGCCACCCCAGGGAAGGGTCGGCTTGTAGCTGACTCTTCATCCTGTAGGTCAGAACCCTCGCTGGCCCTCTGCTCTGGGGTCCTTGGGCAGGAAGGGGCCCCTTCTTGCTCAGAAGTAGAACTTTCTGGATACATCCTGGTGACTTTTCTCTCTGCATGAGAGATCTCCTTGGACTCAGCTTCGGTGTTTCTTAAGTCTTCATTTGCACTGTCTTCTGAGCCTTTCTGAGAGCAGCTGCCCGGGCAGGACGGCCTGGAAGAGGACGGGCCTGGGCTTTGTCGAGGGGTGTCTTCCCCTGGGGCAGGGGGTGGTGTGGACCTGCCCTCTTGGTCCAAGCTGCAGTTTTCAGAAGCCTCCTCTGACTGGCCCTGCTCTGGGCTGACCTGGGGGCTCCCTCCTCTCCCACCTTGAGTTTCCCTTGCTGACCCAGGCCGTCCCTCCCCTTCACCTTCTGCACCATGTCCTTGTCCTACTAGAACCTGGTCACCTCCTGTGGGGGCTTCATCCTCCAAACCATCCTTGCCCCCTGGGCCCTGGTTTCTAGCTTGTTCCCTCTCTGCTGCCCCCAGGCCGTTCCCTTCTCCCCTCTGAGCAGCGGCATCTTCCCCACCTTCCTTGAGGCCAGGCCCCTCTGCCCCCTCTGGCTCTGGACAGTCATCTCTGCAGCATCGCTGGCTCTCCTGCCCTTCCTCCTCCTCCTGCACCCCAGGCCCCAGAGCCAGCCCATCATCAGCTCCCTGGGAGGGCTGGGGGCTCGAGGGGTCCTCCTGAAGCTGCTCCATCCCTGTCTTCTCAGGGGTCACTTCAGCTGCACCCCCACCGGAATGCCCTCCTCTCTTCTGCAGAATTTGCTGCAGGTCAAAGGCCTCTTTGATGGGTGCTCTGGTTGTGCCCACCATACCCTTTGGGGACACAGGGCTCACTTTCTTCTTCATGCAGGCCTCACAGGGACAGAACTCCTCCCCCTCAACCTCCCTGCCCAGTTGGGTCTCTAGGGCTGCACCATCCTCCAGGGAGAGGGTGCCCAGGCCTTGGGTCCGCTGGGAGAAGACTGAGAACTTGTGCAGGTCCCGGAAGCAGCGCCTGCGCTGCTCAGTCTTCAGGGACAGCTCCCCCCTGAGGGCCTCCCTCGGGGGTCCTAGGGCCCCCCTCCCGGCCCGGCTCTGGATCTTCTGGAGCTCCCTCTGGGTACTGCCTTGGAGCCTCCGGCCCACGTCCTGCTGCAGCTCCGCTGCCATCTGGTCCAGCAGAGGGTGGTCCTGCAGGCTCCAGCGGGCCCGGAGCTCGGCCACAGCGCTGGTGAGGTGAGCCAGGAAGGCCTTCTCCATCTTTTTCAGCATTGCGGACACCCAGATGCGGTCAGGATCCAGCAGTGCTCTGCCGCCCATGCGGGTGCTCCTTTCTCTGGCCCCCAGGGGCAGCAAGGCCTGGGTTTGCTCCCGGCCTGTCCTGGCTGCTTCAGGCAGCTTTTCCAAACTAGGCTCAAATCTAGGGCCACTCTGACCTCCAGTGACATCTGGGTCCCTCTCACTGGGCTGACCAGGGGGCTCTGTGGGCTGCTCTCTCCTCCCCACTGGGGCAGAGGCTCTTCCATCTTCCTCCTCTTTCCCCGCCTCCTCCCCTGGGGCACCTTCCCCGCCCAGGCAGCTGGCCCCCGCCCAGGCCTGGCTGCCCACTCTGCCCTCTCCAGGAAGCCCTTCCTCCTCTGTGCCTTCTTCTTGCAGTTCTTGTCTTTCTATTTCTCCTCCAATCTTCTCTAAATGTGCCCCTTCCTGCTGGGTGGTGTTTCCAACCACCTGCCCCGGGTCACTGCCCAGCTCTCCACCATCTCTCTCGGCCCGACCCTCGCTGAGGGCAGGCGAGTTAGGGGAGGCTGGAGAGCAGCTCACGTGTGGGTGCCCCAGACGCTCTGCTTCTTCTGAGGCTCTGGAATCAGGCCTCTGGTGGGAGGTTTCCTGTGGCAGCTCTCCCCTCTCGGGGCCCAGAGTACAGTCCATGGCACAGGGTACGTTGCTCTCCCCCGACCCCCCCGAGCCACTGCTGAGGTCCACACCAGAGGAGGATGTTGGCGTGAGGTTCTCAGTCACGGCATGGGACCCAAGGCCCTGCAGAGCCTGGCTCCACGTCAGGTCCTGGAGGCCCAAGTCTGCCTGGCCTCGGCCAAGGTCACACCCTGGCCACAGAGTCCGGGAGATGCTGAGCAGCTCCTGGTACTGAGGAGAGTCTGTGAACTTCACTTTGCAAGTAGGAGATCCAAGATCTTCATCAAAGAAGTGGAGCCTGGCCAGACAGGTGACAAGGGCCCCGGCCGAGTAGCTGAGCCTCTTGGCCACTGGGCTAGACACTTCGGGCAGGCTGCTGGGCCGGCCCTGCTTGAAGCCCATCAGCACCTTCAGGATCTGTGTGGAGGCTGACACCCTTGGGGGAAGCCCCCGCTGGCCCTCCCTGCAGCCCACTGCCACCCCTCCACCCTCTCTGGCCTCCACAGGGGCTTTGGGATCTTTGCCCAGAGCTGCCCCTTGGGGAGTACCCTCTCCTGATGGGAGGCCAGTACTTCCAGCCCCCAAGAGGGCCCCAACTGCCTCTAGGTTCTCACCAGCATCCCCTTCAGGGGGCTGGGGCCTGACCTGAACTAGCTCCCCTGGGCCTTCTAGAGAACGGCCACCCCCAGGGTCCTCTTTGGGGCTCTCTGGGCCATCCCCGGCCACACATGCAGCCTCATCCACCATCTCATATTTCATGAGAACAGGCTCCTCTGGGATGTTGTCCAGCCATTCTCGGACCACAGCATCTGGTGAGGCTTGGGGCAGAGCACCCGGAGTCACGCCGCCACAGACCTCCCGCTCCTCTGGGCCTCCTCCACTCACAGCAGTCTTCTCCTGGGATGGCCCCTGGGGGCCTGGGGTCAGCATGCACCCCACTACAGGTGACTCCTCCCCCTGCTGGCTCCCAGCTGGCCCCCGGGCAGCACTGTGGAAGCTGCCACTACTACAGCTGGGAGGCCGCTTCTCCCTGGGTGGGGTGGGGCAGTACCTGCTGCCTGCCCAGTGGGCCTCAGGGGAGGGTGCCCACAGTGCCTGTGTGTTACCTCTGGGGACCCCTTGGACTGGGGGTGCCCCAATCTGTGAGCAGCAACAACCCTGTTCTCCTCTCTCAGGCTGTCCGATCTGCAATGCCAAGGTCGAGGAAGGCCCAGGGGTGTCCTCTGCCTCTTCCCGCTGGCTGCCAGCCCTAGCCTGAGAGCAGGACTGGGGTGTGTGGGGAGGAGATGGAGGCGGTGAGCCTGCCCTGGACCCTGCTTCCCCTGTCCACCCAGCAGAAGGAACATCGCAGTGGCAGGAACCAGGAGTGTAGTCTGACTCGCTTGCAGGAGAGATGGTGGCACTGCTGGCCCCGGAGAAGTCCCGGGAGTGCAGAGAGCCTGAGCAGAGGGCTCGCAGGTAACTGGAGGACCGTATCTGGGTGCTTGAGGAGCTTTCAGAAACTTGTGACTCTGGCCGTTCTGGGCAGGCCCTTCCTTGGTTGGGAGGCCTTGACGCTGGCTGGGCTGCAGGTGAGTTCAGCAGGCAGTGGTGACACTGCCTGGTATGGCCTCTCTGAGCCACTCGGCCAAGGCCAGGGGTGTTGAGGAGGGACAGAGCTTGTGTCCTCTGGTTTGTTGTCCCCCGCTGGGCTGAGGCACAGGTGGGAAGTGTGGGAGAGCTTCCTTCTGTGTCCCAGGAACCAGAATGGCCTGGAGCCAGGGGCAGCCTTGTCACAGACTCCCACTTGGCATGGCGGCACCCAGTGCCCTGCCCACATGTCTCTGCCTGTAGGTCCTCATTCTTTAAAGATGAGGGACTCTGAGTGGGAGGACCTGGGCCACTTCCCTGGGTGAACTTCCTCTGGGATGTCACAGCTCCTGCCTCGCCTGAGTGGCTGTGGTGCTGCCTGCACCACTTACTGGCCCCTTGGAGAGACCTAGCACCAGCTGATGAGTCAGAAAGAGCTCCTTTGGCACCCCGGCTGCCCAGCCCTGCCGCCTCTAGGCATGGGTCATCTTCCCTCCTGGCCCTGCTCTGGGCAGAGAGACCACTGCTGCCCACTGCACCCTCTGGGGTCCTGGGACAGCAAGAGGAGTCTGGCTCCGAGCCCTCAGAGTGACTGGAGCTAGAGGGAGAGCTGATGCTATCCTGGGGTCTCTCCCTGAATATGGCCCCTTGACTTGAGGGGCCTCTGCAGCTGGGGTGCTGGGTCAGCCCCAACTTCCTCCGAGAAGCCAGCCCCTTCCCCTGGGCTGTGTGCAAGGGGTTCGTCCAGATCTCATATCCGGGCCGTGATGGCCTGCCGTGGCCACAGACTTCCTCGCACCCCTCCCCACAGGGCCCCGGCCCCCATACCCCAGGCACTGAGCAGCCCACAGGGCGGCCCTCCCACACGCAGCAGAGGGGGTCAGCCTCCCCCAGGTCGGGGCCCTCTCCACTGGCCTTCCCTACCCTCCGGGACCACAGGAGCGTGTCCTGGCCACAGAGGTGGAAACGGACTTTCATCTCCACAGACAGGCTGCCATCCTCGTTCATACGGACCTTCTTCTTCACGTCATCGCTGGCCACCAAGGGGCTGAGCTGGGCGGGCGTGTCCTGAGGGTGCCTGTTGGGGACAGGGCCCACCCAGGCTGGATCCAGGGATGCTGGGGGGTCACTGAACCTGGACTGCTCCGACAGCAAGGAAGACTGCCGCGGCCTGCTGCCTGACCTGGACCGGGCATGGATCACACTCCGCTTGGCCTTTGGCCCCCAGCTCCCTGGCATGCAGTGAAGAAAAGAGAAGAAGATGGTGAGGGCAGAAAAACAAAGAGGCAGCGAGCCTTCCACCGCCTGGACAGCACCACTACATCCTGGCTGGGGGGCCGGGGCAGAGCTGTCCAGAGCAACTGTGAACTGCATAGCAGGATGAACTTGAGTCTAAATTCCCTCTTGACTCTGCCACTTACCAGCCACATAGCTTTGGGCAGAGCCTGTTTTCCAAACTGTAAAATCGGTGTAAACACAGTGATTGGTAGGTCTGAACTGACGCACGGCCATACCTGTCAAACCTCCCGGATAGTGGCCGGCACGGAGTCTGCTGGCGGAGAGCAGCAGTGTCCAGGGCTCACTGTTGGCCCTTCTCATGTCCCCCCAGCATAAGACATGAAGTCGATAGATTGTTACCTACGAACCTGACTGCAAACTATACCATGCCGGGCAATTATCAGTGGTGATTTATCACCCTGATGCTCATCACGCTCTTGAATTGATACGGGATTGCAAGGAAAGACTAGGAGCACAGTATCGGGTCCTGCTAGTCACGCAGTCCTTCCCCAGCTTCTCTTCTGAAGAAGAGAAGAAAAGGCTGTTGGAAATGAAAAGAAAGGGCCTTCAGGACATTCACCCTCATCTCCTGGACTAATGCAGGCAAGAGGGCAGGGCCAGTGCAGCCTGGGTCCTTGGCCAGCAGAAGAGCAGGGCCGGACAGCACATCTGGGCAGAAGTTGGCCTTGCTGCAGCCTCCCTCTTCACCAGCATCCAGTGAGGCTCCTCCAGGAAGGGGTCTCGGGCTAACATGTCCCTATACATCCAGTACTTGGCATACAGCAGTCTCGGGACCATTGGGGCTGGTGTTTTCTTAGCTTTTCACAAAGGGGAGTACTTCATTGACTCACCAGATGTGCCAATTGTCATTCTAATAATTTTTGCTTGAACTTTTAGGCTTTTGTATTGAAAAAAAAAAATAGCACAGCCTGGACTGTGGGTCAGTGTCACAGTCACTGTGATGCAGTTGTTCACTGTCACGGTTCTTAACCTTTTGACCTGTCTGCAGGCCACCACTGTTGCCTAAGACAGTCGTACTCTTAAAAGAGCCAGTTGCCTCCTGGGCATGGCCCACCGCCCACTGTGGTTCTTAATAAAAGTCAGTTTAGATCCCAGCAACTTCCAGTTCAAGATCTCCTGATCCCTGTTCCCTTTTAAATGTCAAACTCTGCTTTCTCCCATCCAGTTAAGATTGATGGTGATGAGAAGAAAGAGGAAAAAATAAGAGATACCCCCCAATGATGGGAATACCTGAAAACTGGGACCAACGGTAGGTTTCCTAAACATTCTGGACGGGATATGTGTGCTCAGCCCTACTGAACCACCACCCAGTGCAAATCAGATTGGGGAAACCCAAAAACCAACTCACCAGTTTTGTTCTTTGAAGTCAGCCCAGCTAAAGTTTCAGTCCCATTCTTTCTGGCATCTTCTACGGCCAGAGGTCTGAAGGCCTCATTGCTGGCACACACCAGCACAGAGGTGCCACGTGGCAGAGTCTGCATGGAGTCCACCTGTGGCAGTAGGCACTGAGTCAGGCCCCGCTGCAGAAGGCCCTCTGCCCGGAGGGTCCAGTGTCTCCAACCCTCTGTCAATTTCTATACATCTCACTCAGGTTTCTGTTCTGAGGATTCTGCCCACTCCCCATAGCTGGGAGCTGAGGTCTTCCCACCACAATCTCCCTCTCTATTCTCACCCCTCCCTGCACCAGGATTCTCAGGTGGAAAGACTTTAGAGCCAGGTGTCCACCCCCCCCACACGTGTTTCGTAATGCAACAGAAGCAGAAGGCCTTCCAGCTCCCATGTGGGGACTCAATTCACAGCCCACCGATTTCCCAAATGGAAGGTCCTCTCTGGTATCTGCGATGTGTTTTCCAGTATGATCTGGGCCCCTCACCTCTGCCTCACCCAAGCAGGAAGGAAAGGGGCCGGGCACTGCTCTCTTTATAGGGATCCCTTCCCTTCCAGAATCCTACAATATCCTCTAGGTTCCTGTCCCCCTCCATGGGCCCACCAGCAGCAAGCCCATCCTGGTCCCTCTGGATTCCATTCCAGCAAACAAGTCTCTGCTTTGGGACAATCTCACCTGGCCCCCAGAGGCCTTACATGTCTGCAGACTTGCACTATTGGTAGCATTATGCTGTAATTTGCAATACACCTGGGGATGCATTTCTATCTTTAAAGGGTAGCATATATAATTTTTCAATTTCTCAAATTAAAAGGGTGTGTTCATTAACAAAAAAAAAAAAAAGAGAGAGAACTCTTGCATCTTCTCCCTCAAAAATAACATATGAATCTGCTGTACACCCAAATCTTTTAGCCCAGTTAGTTAGAAGTTTGTTTTAAACGACTTCTAAACTCCTAAACTAGATACTTCAGTTTAAATCTCTAGTCCATCCAGAAAAGACAACCGTGACCCAAGCCTATCAATGTACAGACGTAGCTATGCCTCTAGGGAATCACACCTTTCAGGGAAGAAGGAAGCATTGAACTAAATGGCATTCCCACCCCTTAAGGAGAGGTGGAAGTGTAGGATCCTCAGGAAAAGTGGTGTCTGTCCAGTAGGGGACCCACAAGTTGATAATAACAACACAGTCCCTCTTGGGGAGCAACGAGGTCATTCTATTTACAGAAACTCTAATAGCTCTGCGGTACGTCTAGGTGAAAATATCCTGATATCTTTTTTCCCAAATAATTCATCTTGTGCCTGCTCTGTCCTGCTCCACACACTCACTCTCCTGGGCGCTAACCAAAGCTAGGACCTACTTACTCACCCAGGCACTAACCAAAGTTAGGACCTACTTACTCACTGGTCACTAACCAAAGCTGGGACCTTATCTTTCTGCCTACTCCATGTAGCACATGTCAATATGTATTAAATGCATAATAATTCAAAAGCATATTTTTGCATTATGACACTGAAATTATGAATGCTGGCTCTATCACTGGCCAGCCACACAACTATGAGCCAATATGCTTAGACCCCCAGCATCCCTTTCCCCACCTGTCCCCAGGGGATAATAATAACAGCTACCTTGTGAGTTTTACTACCCGGAGTAGTTTCTGTTTCCCACACTGAACTCTCAAGATAAGATGATGATGAGAAGGTCTTGCCTTGCACAGAAGCACCGTGCCGGCACTTGCTAAGTGCTCCCTGCCTGGTAGCTAAAAATGTCAGTAACAATTGTGTGTTGACTAATTCATGTCAGTAAATGTTTTCACCCCACTCAGCTTTAAGTAGCAGGTCAACCAAGCACCTTCTTTTAAGGAAGAACCTCCCCATGCCATCTAAGTCTTTTGATCGGAGGTCCAAAGAACTTTTCCGAGGAGCCCCCCTGGGCCTGACAGCCTACCTTCCTTCCGCTCATGGTGTAAAGCTGCTTCACGGGAAAGTGCAGAACGTCTGAGGCTTTGCTGAGAAAGGCCGCCAGGGTCTTGGTATCTCTCTGACTGAGAGTCACCATCTGCTGGACTCTAGGGTCCCTGTTCTTAACCAGAAGTATCTTCCTTGGGGCCCTGGGCACCTTCCAGGAAGAGGATGTTCCCGGTGCCTCACGCTGGCCTTCACAATCCCAAGACCGCTGAGCAGAGGGGCTTCTTCCCTGGGGCCGGCCTGGCCCACTGGGGGTCTTGGGAGCCTTTTTATCAGAGCAGAGGTAGCAGCCACCGTCTTCTAGCTGCTCCAGGGCACTGAGGCCGTGCAGGCCCCGGGGCGTGGTGACAGAGCGGACCCCGAAGGAGAGGGGCACACGCTGGGAGAGCTCGTCCATAAGGGCGCTGAAGGTCTTGAAGGCGCGCTGGTGAACAGCCAGGCGAACCCCGGCAAACCGGGGGTCCCCGCGCTTGAGGAAGGTGATCTTCTTGGCTGGCGTGACCTGGGTGACAGAGGGGGTGCGAGCCACAGAGGGCAGGAGGCACTCGCGGTGGCCTGGGGCCTGGGCTTCCCTCTGCGCGCTGTGCATGCTGTAGTGGGCCGGGCGGCTGTCACAGGTCAGAGGTCGGAAAGAGTCAGAGCAGCTTACGGGGTTTGCATTTCCTGTCTCTCCCCTTCTTGGCAGAGGGGCCTCCTTTTCACCCCAAATTTGCTCCATCCCACTACGCAGAGGCAGGTTGATCCATTTGGATGGACTAGGAAGAAAGGCAAAGGTTTGGCATCAGACAGATCCGAGTTCAAATCCCGACCTCATCACATACTACCCGTGTGACCCTGCAGGTGAATGATGTCATCTGGGATTAGTGACCACACCTGTCAGATGTGGCTACAAGCCCCGTGGGTTATAACAGTGGACGGAGCATCACACAGAGAGCTGCTGACATAGAACACACACCAGCAAGTCTTTATCCCCTTCCCCCCTCCTGCTGTCCCCCTACCCTCTTCCACCATCCTCGGGCTCCTTAGAATAGCAGTTTCCCTCCCAGGGAGGTGGGTAAATGCAGAGGTGAGATGTGGGGCAGGACCCAGGAGGGCTGGAAGCATCCCTCTCCCCTGAGGTCTTCCTGTGCAACTCCCAGGGCTCCCACCTCTGTGGACTTGTTCCTTCCAGCTGTCAGGTGACAGGGCCAGAATGTAAGGAATAGGCCCTGCGGAAAGGGCACAGACCGGGAGACTTGGAGCTCTGTGTCTGCAACCTGCCACCACTGATGCTATGTGTTTTCTCTATTTTATATTGATATTTGCTTTCAAAAAAAAAAGGTGATGCTGCTTCTCACACTGTCCCCAAAGACTTTGCAAGGTGCCTGATGTCAGTTGCCTGTCCCAGCTCACTGCCACCAGCTTGGCAGATGGGGCACAGACCCACAAGGCTGGTCAAGACCATTTGCTCCCCTATACCCCACTGCCTTCCCCTATTCCCACGGAGCCCATGGCCTCACCCAGGACTCTGCACAAGCCTCCCTGAGTTCCTCTTGGCATCTCTATGACCAGGTGGTGGCCTGTTCTGTGTACCTGTGGCCTGGTTGTCCTGGAACCAGGCTTTCACCCAGACATCTCCTGTGCTCTAAAGCCATCCAGAGGTTCCCCCAGTGGCTGCAGAAAAGTCCAGGTGCTTTATCCTACACCTCACAGCCTTTTCCCACTAGTCCCAGCCTCCCCCTTGGGCCTTACTTCCTGCTTCTTTCCACATGAAAATTCCTCCACCAATCGGCTGCCTGGCCCTGAGGTCCTGTCTGCAAGGTGACTCTTGTCCTACAGCCCCTGCCTTGGCTTTCCTCCTTTGCAGACCCTTCCCTGGTGGTCTGGGCCTGGGGCAATGCCCATTCTCAGTGAAGTTACCCCACCAGGTCCTGCATCCTGGCCTGCTCCACCCAGGCTGAGAGGAAGAACCCACCCTCCCCGTGGCACCAGCCTGGAGCAGGGATGCTGACCCTTCCCAGAGCCTCATGCCAGGGCCAGGCCTGTAAAAGCTGGGCGCCGAGAAATGACATGGGGTGAGGCCTCGTCCCAGCTCGCAGGGATTCAGAACCACAATGGACCCTCATTAACCTGCGCCCACAGGCAACAGCATCTCCCCTGGCGCCGCCCTCATGGCCACGTGTGGGTTCACGGCTCCTTTTCTCTCCTTCCTTTTCATTTGTCCAAAGGGGAAGAACAAGTCTCTCATTTTCCAAACCATGCTGCACAAAAGGACCTCGTAATCCTCTTCCATCTCTGGTACAAGTGATATAATTAGCTGTTCAACCTTCTCCCTCCCTACTAATCCCTTGAAGCTTCTCTTCCTTGACCTCAGACCTCAGCTGACACCCTGCAGGGCCAGAAGCAGTTCCTCCAACTGGTGGCCCCATCAGCGCCCTGGGGACTAGCCTTCCTCCCAACCCCGCTTTCATTTTCACTTTCTACTGTAAGTGAAGCTATAAGGCCATGCCTGTGGCCTTCACTAAGGGACTAGGAAGGAAAGAAGTGCCCCCTTGTCCCAAGTGTCACTGTGTTCCCACCATGACCATGTCCCTGGCAACTCCAAGTCCCAATATCACCATGTCCCCCATCATCACCAAGTTCCAAGCATTTGCCTCTAGCAAACCCACAGCCCACCAGGGGTTCTGCTCCCTGCAGCCCCTCCTGTGCGGGTGAAAGGGGCGGGGTGCCCCTCTCAGATGCCCCTGGATGCAGCTCTGAAGAGCATTGCAGGGAGCGTGGGGGCTGCCTGGTAAGAAGGCGGAGCCCCTCTGTGAAGCAGGCAAAGCCCCTCTGTGCTCTCAGGCCCAGGGCAAAACAGAACATTGCATCGTAGCACTCCCCCTGCTGGCTGCTGGTCTTCTTTTCCTGGAATGCTTCTAGAATATTATCTGTCTAGGCTGGAATTCATCTCTAACAGGACTTTTTAAATACAAGGGGAATGTGACCCAAGGAACCCTCAGTCCCAAAGACCAGGCTGATACTGGGTGCTCCGTGACCTGGCACACAGCCCCAGGGGAGCCAGTGTAATCTTGTCATCCTGCCAGCAATTGTGCCGGAGTTCACGTGACCAACAGCAGATAGCATCAGGGGCTCACGCTCAGGCTTACACACAAACACAGGCTGGAAGGAATTCAGGACCAGGAGGAGGGGCTGAGGGATGACCCAGCCCTGTGACCTGGAGGTGACAACCTCCAGGGACAGACACCACACTGCTCTTCACAGGCAGAAGAGGCCATGGCTCTCCAGCCTCAGGGACACAAACAGAGATGGGGGCAGCCTCACCGCTGTGGACAGGAGCCAGCAAGCACAGGGAAGGCAGATGCAAACAGGAATGGTTTTCTTCTTGAAAGAGGCTTAAACATCTAGTCTTTCCCCCTTCAAAATCACCTGGCCTCATCAGATTATTCATTCATTCAATCACCCACTCATTCACTTATTCATGTAGCCAACAAAGGTTTTTGAGCATCAGTCATGTGTCAGGCTCCACCTTGGGTCTGGGGAATACAAAGATTACTAGGATTTAACACCATCTTCAGAAACGTCACATCCTAGTGTGACAGACAGCCTCACTAATACATACCATAATAAGTGTTCTAATGCGTATATGTGAGTGTGTGTCTATAATATACACAAGGTATGACATAAAACAGGGAGAGGACTGGCTGGTCACTGGCTGGTCAGGGAAGACGTCTTGGAAGAGGTGATGTGAAGACTCTTGAGCTAAAAGACAATTTAGGATAAACCCAAGAAGGAAGAAGTTAGGACGGTCATGGCACAGATACGGCTGTGGTGCTAACTCTGCCTAGTGGGGTGGGTTTAGAGGGATGGGGGAGAAGGTTAGAGACGTCCCATGTGCTGTCATTAGCTGCCACAGAGTCAGGGTGGAAAAGGGCCACTCTGGGTGCAGGACACTTGCTGTTGCTGCACTGGGGTGTTCAAAACCCAAGCTGGAAAATTGGAATTTTCAACTCCATGAGCCAACTCCTTACCTTACTGGGCTTGAGCTTGGGTGTCATGAGGACTAGGAAGAGACCAAGAGGTGGCCCCGGAGCAGCGTGGCAAAGGCCACATTCACTGCTTTCTGAGTCAGGAGGGCTCTGCGTGGGGTGGAGCAGAGGCAAGTTCTCATCCTGTCCAGTGGCTGGTAGGGGACATCTGGGACGCCTGCACCATTCCTGCACACCAGACAGGCCTTGAGAGGCTGCACAAAGGAGTGATACCCAGTGGCACATACATCGTTTTCTCCCTCTATTTTCCTGCTTTAAAAACCAAACAGGAAAAGAAGAAGACTAGACCCATTTAATAAGAAAAGCAAGGGGGGGCACCAGGCCTGCCCCAAAGAGAGGCCCCCTGGGCCCCCGAACTCCCTGAGCACATAGTGGGCAGAAGCTCCCTCACTGTAGGGAGAGGACAGGCTCTGCCCATTGCCCACCTGGCCAGCAAGAAGGGTGCAAGGGGGTGGAAGAGGCTGACCCGGGGGTACAAGGGACTGTTGGTAAGAGGCCAGGAGAAAAAGGAAACAGCTACAGGGCTACTGGCCAGGGGTCTGGTCCCCAGCTGTCCACCCTACCCCCAGCTGGGACACGAGGAGACCCTCCAAGGACAGAGGGCCTTTGCTCAGCCAAGCCCAGTGTCTGAGCTCCAGAGCAGCTTCCAACCTGCCTCCCACTCAGGGCAGGGCCTGGCAGGCAGAAGAGGTGGGGGAGGCCCTGGGATCTGACTGGGAAGTGGTGCTGGGTGCTGTGTGAGCACAGAGGCTGGGGACCCACCACTGGTGCCGAATGGGTCCCGGCAAGCACAGCAAACCCTGGGGCCCACAGCAGAGCCAGGAAGGCTGGGTCTGCAGGCAGGGTGGTGGCATGGGCAGGGAGGGGAGCGTGCAGGGGATTTCGGGAGGAAGCCCGGAAAGAAAGCGGAGGCGGCCTTCCAGAGAGGGGGTGGAGGCCTGAGAGCAGAGAAAAGGAATTAAGGGGCAAAGGGAGGAAAAAATAGAACTCAGAGGAAATGCTGGGAAAAGGTGACAGCCCCACTGGTGGGGGAATTGCGCAGGGCGGGCCTTTGGGGAGGAAACGGTTTTGTCACAGTCCTGGAAGTGGGCGGGCCGAGTCAGGGCAGGGGATTCAGGAAGAAGGAGTGGGGCGAGGGAGAGGCAGGGACACCAAAGAGGGAACTCAAAAGGTTGAGTGGGGAGAGGACAGGGCTGGACCGTGTTACCAGTGCACTTCTGAAAGTGGCCACCTGAGGACAGGGGGGCAGGCCCCAGAGAGAACAAAGCTGGTGGGGGATCGGGCAGCCGTTTTCCTTTTGGACACCCCCTTAGTGACTGAGTTTGCTCTGGGGTATAAGAGAACCAATATTTTATGAACAATAAGAAGGAAAAGAACAGTGACAAACTACAACAAAGACGTGCCATTAATTGCAAGATGCATCTTGATTCCAGAGATATTAGAACATTAGGGAAAAGCCCGACCTGTGCATGTGAAGTCAGGGAAGACAGGATGACAGAAAGCCCGGCACACACAGCACGCATATTCATGATGAAGCCGCGGCACTTTATCAAGCGTGACT